CCATATCTTCCCCTTCTATTTGCCAGGAGGTGATGGGACCAGTGGCCATGATCTTAGTTCTTTTGATGTTGAGCTTCAGACTGTTTTTTGCACTCTCCTCTTTCACTCTCATTAAGAGGTTCTTTAATTCCTCCTCACTTTCTGCCATCAGAGTGGTATCATCTGCATATCGGAATTGTTGATATTTCTTCAAGCAATCTTAATTCTGGTTTGGGATTCCTCCAGTCCAGCCTTTTGCATGATGTATTCTGCATAAGCCTGTGCTGCAGGGTCAGAAGACCAAGCAGTCGTAAGATTGAATCCATGTGACGGAGTGAGCACCCGTCACTTGTCCCAGCTCCCGCCAACCTAGCAGTTCGAAAGCATGCAAATGCGAGTAGATTAATAGGAACCACCTCGGTGGGAAGGTAACAGCATTCTGTGTCTAAGTCGCACTGGCCATGTGACCACGGAAGATTGTCTTCGGGCAAAACGCTGGCTCTGTGGCTTGGAAACGGGGATGAGCACTGCCCCCTAGAGTCGAACATGACTGGACAAAAAAAATTTGTCAAGGGGAACCTTTACCTTTACCTTTACCTATTCTGCATATATAAGTTAAATAAGCAGGGGGACAATATACAGCCTTGTCGTACTCCTTTCCCAATTTTGAACCAATCAGTTGTTCCATATCCAGTTCTAACTGATGCTTCCTGACCCACGTATAGGTTTCTCAGGAGATAGATAAGGTGGTGAGGCACTCCCATTTCTTTAAGGACTTGCCATAGTTTGCTGTGGTCCACACAGTCAAAGGCTTTTGCATAGTCAATGAAGCAAAAGTAGATATTTTTCTGGAACTCTCTGGCTTTCTCCATAATCCAGTGCATGTTAGCAATTTGGTCTCTAGTTCCTCTGCCCCATCTTTTAAGATTTTAAATAGTTCAGCTGGAATGTCTGACTATCTCTCTGACTATCTATCTATCACTCTTGATCTTATCTCCTATCTCATATCTCCAACTGTCTTATCTTATTTTCCAATTGCTCCCTTCCATTCTTCTTGCAACTACCACTCTGCCTTCTTATTTGCTGACTCCGCCCCTCCACTCCTTCCATAGGATCATGCAAATGAGATCTGGACATGAGTGACAGAAGTGACGTGGGACCGATCGTCACACTCTCCATCCTGCCTTGCAGATTAGAAGCAGAATGCTTTGGGTACTTTAGGAAGATAATAGGAGAGGAATACCACCTTTAAGTTCTACTGCTTTCACGCAGGCTTCCTAGAGTCTTCAGGATCGCTAATGTGGGAAGGGGCTAGATGGGCCAAGAAAGCAAATGGTACATGTGTAGTAATGGTAGATGTGTAAGACAGGTAAATCTTACAGTACATGGGCAGACTGTTGGTGCAGATCTGTTCAGAGTAAGATTAATAGCTATAGCCTAGGAGTAAAAACAAACCAACATCAAAAGAAAAGAAGTCAATCTAGAAAATACTGGAATTCAACAATACAGTATTGGCTGGATTTCCTAAAAACAAAGTGAACTAATAATGAAACCACTGAGTGTAGAAGCAGCCTTTGTTTCCTAAAGCATAATTCTTAAGCATGTGGAGGGAAATTTTATATACAAAATCTATGTCTGTTATACACCATACCTTGATGCATCCTGCATGATGTGGCAGTGTCTTCTGACAAGGTATATTTATTTTATTTATTTATTGCATTTATACCCTGCCTATCTAGTCGAATGACCACTCTAGGCAGCTGTATAGAACTAACAGTGCCCCTTTTAACTGCTATATGAAGCCAGGCACACTGCAATTGATTATATAATAATGAGGGTGTTTTCAGTGGCCACTTGTTTATATTTGATAACCTATCACTGCATTTAACCACTACATGACTTTGTATGTTCTGCCTCAGTTGCTCATGCTTTGAGAAAGGTTATTTGTTAGTCTTAAGTTGTTAAGTGATGTAATGAATGTAGCTGTCAAGACCAAGAGTCATAATAAGTCATTATAAACCAAACACACAGCAGTAGAATCATACAAGAATGAAATCATGCATCATAAAAAGCAAGTAAAAACATGTTTCAGTACACATTTTTTATCTCCATTTGCTGTAGCATAGGCAAAGGAACACAGATTTCTCCACAATGTACTTTAATTATAGATAAAAATCCAAATGTTTTGTTGTTCACTTGCAATAATGTTGCCTGGATGAGGGGATAAAAACCTCATTGTTTATATATTCTAGAGGGTTACACTGTTGGAGCTAAATTAACAAAAATGGGCCTACTCTAGTCAGGACTAGGAATGGGATACTGGCTCTTGTGTTTTTGCAACTGGACTTTTTTCGAGTCTCTGTGTTTCTCACTTACATACAATTAAAGAGTTTTGTCTCTGTAATGTGTGCCTTAAAATGTTCTTGATAGGGAGAAAAATAAATAGATTACTTTTGCCATCAGCCAGCTGCAACTTTCTTTAATAATAATTCTTATGTTGCTTTTCTGAGGCTAGCTGAGAAGTTTAAATTTATATATTTTATTTTAAATTCTTAGTTATATGCTTAATGGGAAGACTAAATTTTTCTGATAACATTGTCTAAACTAGTTAGCAGCACGAAGCTTTCAAGAACCCAAATGTGGGTCCTGAGTAACCCTAAAGCACTCCCTCCATCCCTAATTTAAAATATTTTTGGAAAATATGTTCTGCGCCCTCTGAGGGAGTAGGAGGCAATGAGCATTTTATAGTTTTAAAAAAGCACACAATTTTTCTAAGGAAAAAAAGGAGGAGTCATAGGAACAGGTGCCTTAGAAACCAGTTAATGAGATCCAAGGATCATTGTGTGCAAACCTTTTAAGATTGCCTGCCTCTGATCTAAACAGAAGTAAACTTATTTTAATCCATTTGACTTCATTGAGACAGTTAGCTAGATCTTCAGCTGCTTTCTGTTAAAGTAGACTAGACTACAGTATCTGCTAAAGTAGAGTAGACTGTCTAGATGGGCAGGGTATAAATCTAATAAAATAAAATAAAACAAATTATAAATTAAAGGAGATGGAACAAAAAGACCTTAACAGCTAGATTATCAGTTTGGATTTCAGTGGAATTTTCTCTTTCTTTTTAGAATAATTTGGTATTTAATATTTGCAAACTACATGGGCCTGTTTAATGTTTGTAGACTACATTGGTATTTAATATTTGCAGACTACATATGACAACTGAACTGAATAATTGTTCTGAATGAAGAAGTAAGGCAACTTAAAGCAATCACTTGACACATAGAAGTTAAAAAGGGGAAAAACACCCAGGTTATCTGTTTGTCACTTGCCACCCCCCATTGCTGCAGCTCACTAAGCACAGAGATATTTATTTATTTATTTATTGGACTTATATACCGCCCCATAGCGCTACAAGCACTCTCTGGGCGGTTTACAATTTTTAATTATACAGGCTACACATTGCCCCCCCAGCAAGCTGGGTACTTTGAGTTATTGGAAAGAAACTTTACTTCTCATAGTATGTGCACAGATTTTTCTGATATCCAATTTCAAGTCAAATGGATTTGCCCATAATTCTCAAAGCTGCTCAAGTTTACCAGAAATGGTATAGCATACCTATGAAGAACATTGACCTTCCTCAGTCTGGGTAAAATGAGCTATTTTTTAAATGAATAATAGAAAAGGAAGGAGCCTACACGGCCATCAAGTCAAACCCCCTGCTCAATGCAGGAATACAATCAAAGCATTTCTGCCAAGTGATTTTCTAAGTTTCTCTTGAATGTCTCCAGTGTTGGAGCACTGACTAACTCCTGAGGTAACTAGTTCAACAGTCGTAGTGCTCTAACAAGAAGTTTTTCCTGCTATTCAGTCGAAATCTGGCTTCCTTTAACTTAAGCCCATTGTTTGCATGTCCTGCACTTTCGGATAATCTGGGGTAATCCTGCCCCTCCTCTGTATGACAGCCTTTCAAATATTTAAAACTGCTTGAATCAACTGCTGAATGGCAAGACTACATATATGCAGATCCCATTGAGTCAATGGGATACTGGCTCTCGTGTTTTTTCAACCGGACTTCTTTCGAGTCTCTATGTT